TGCATTTCAAATATTTCTAGGAGTATTATTATTTAACCCTTCCTTGAAATTGCTAGGAAACTGCATCTTCAAATATTTCTAGGAGTATTATTTTCCTTATTCCAGCAAACCTTCCATGGAAATTGCTAGGACGAACTGCATCTTCAAATATTTCTAGGAGTATTATTTTCCTTATTCCAATCTAACCCTTCCATGGAAATTGCTAGGACGAACTGCATCTTCAAATATTTCTAGGAGTATTATTTTTCTCATTCCAATCTAACCCTTCCATGGAAATTGCTAGGACGAACTGCATCTTCAAATATTTCTAGGAGTATTATTTTCCTTATTCCAATCTATTCCAAATTGCTAGGAAACTGCTTCTTCAAATATTTCTAGGAGTATTATTTTCCTTATTCAATCTAACCCTTCCATGGAAATTGCTGGACGAACTGCATCTTCAAATATTTCTAGGAGTATTATTTTCCTTATTCAATCTAACCTGGAAATTGCTAGGACGAACTGCATCTTCAAATATTTCTAGACCCCAATCTAACCATGGAAATTGCTAGGACGAACTGCATCTTCAAATATTTCTAGGAGTATTATTTTCCTTATTCCAATCTAACCCTTCCATGGAAATTGCTAGGACGAACTGCATCTTCAAATATTTCTAGGAGTATTATTTTCCTTATTCCAATCTAACCCTTCCATGGAAATTGCTAGGACGAACTGCATCTTCAAATATTTCTAGGAGTATTATTTTCCTTATTTCAATCTAACCCTACCATGGAAACTGCTAGGACGAACTGCATCTTCACATATTTCTAGGAAATTTTCCTTATTCCAACGAACTGGACGAACTCATTTCAAATATTTCTAGGAGTATTATTTTTCTTATTCCAATCTAACCCTTCCATGGAAATTGCTAGGACGAACTGCTTCTTCAAATATTTCTACGAGTATTATTTTCCTTATTCCAATCTAACCCTTCCATGGAAATTGCTAGGACGAACTGCATCTTCAAATATTTCTAGGAGTATTATTTTCTTATTTTCTAACTTGGATTCCATCTTCAAATATTTCTAGGACCCTTATTCCTAACCCTTCCATGAAATTGCTAGGACGAACTGCATCTTCAAATATTTCTAGGAGTATTATTTTCCTTATTCCAATCTAACCCTTCCATGGAAATTGCTAGGACGAACTGCATCTTCAAATATTTCTAGGAGTATTATTTTTCCTTATTCCAATTAACCCTATGGAAATTGCTAGGACGAACTGCATCTTCAAATATTTCTAGGAGTATTATTTTCCTTATTCCAATCTAACCCTTCCATGGAAATTATTTTGGACGAACTGCATCTTCAAATATTTCTAGGAGTATTATTTTTTCTTATTCCAATCTAACCCTTCCATGGAAATTGCTAGGACGAACTGCATCTTCAAATATTTCTAGGAGTATTATTTTCCTCATTCCAATCTAAGCCTTCCATGGAAATTGCTAGGACGAACTGCATCTTCAAATATTTCTAGGGAGTATTATTTTTCCTTATTCCAATCTAAACCTACCATGGAAATTGCTAGGACGAACTGCATCTTCAAATATTTCTAGGAGTATTATTTTCCTTATTCCAATCTAAACCTTCCATGGAAATTGCTAGGACGAACTGCATCTTCAAATATTTCTAGGAGTATTATTTTCCTTATTCCAATCTAACCCTTCCATGGAAATTGCTAGGACGAATTCTGCATTGCTTCAAATATTTCTAGGAGTATTATTTTCCTTATTCCAATCTAACCCTTCCATGGAAATTGCTAGGACGAACTGCATCTTCAAATATTTCTAGGAGTATTATTTTCCTTATTCCTAATCTACGAATTGCATCTTCACATATTTCTAGGAGTGAAAATTAACCTAGAACTGCATCTTCAAATATTTCTAGGAGTATTATTTTTTTATTCCAATCTAACCTTCCATGGAAATTGCTAGGACGAACTGCTTCTTCAAATATTTCTAGGAGTATTATTTTCCCATTCCAATCTAACCTTCCATGGAAATTGCTAGGACGAACTGCATCTTCAAATATTTCTAGAGTATTATTTTCCTTATTCCAATCTAACACTTTCCATGGAAATTTCTAGGACGAACTGCATCTTCAAATATTTCTAGGAGTATTATTTTCCTTATTCCAATCTAAACCTTCCATGGAAATTGCTAGGACGAACTGCATCTTCAAATATTTCTAGGAGTATTATTTTCCTTATTCCAATCTAACCCTTCCATGGAAATTGCTAGGACGAACTGCTTCTTCAAATATTTTCTAGGAGTATTATTTTCCTTATTCCAATCTAACCCTTCCATGGAAATTGCTACCATGGAGTTTATTTTCCCTATTCCAATTAACCCTTCCATGGAAATTGCTAGGACGAACTGCATCTTCAAATATTTCTAGGAGTATTATTTTCCTATTCCAATCTAACACTACCATGGAAATTGCTAGGACGAACTGCATCTTCAAATATTTCTAGAAATTTTCTATTCCAGAAACCTTCCATGGAAATTGCTAGGACGAACTGCTTCAAATATTTCTAGGAGTATTATTTTTCCTTATTCCAATCTAACCCTACCATGGAAATTGTTAGGACGAACTGCATCTTCAAATATTTCTAGGAGTATTATTTTCCTTATTCCAATCTAACCCTTCCATGGAAATTGCTAGGACGAACTGCATCTTCAAATATTTCTAGGAGTATTATTTTCCTTATTCCAATCTAACCCTTCCATGGAAATTTTCCAATCTATTGCTAGGACGAACTGCATTCTTCAAATATTTCTAGGAGTATTATTTTCCTATTCCAATCTAACCCTTCCCATGGAAATTGCTAGGACGAACTGCATTCTTCAAATATTTCTAGGAGTATTATTTTCCTTATTCCAATCTAACCCTACCATGGAAATTGCTAGGACGAACTGCATCTTCAAATATTTCTAGGAGTTATTTTCCTTATTCCAATCTAACACTTCCCATGGGATTAGGACGAACTGCTTTTCAAATATTTCTAGGAGTATTATTTTCCTTATTCCAATCTAACCTTCCATGGAAATTGCTAGGACGAACTGCATCTTCAAATATTTCTAGGAGTATTATTTTCCTTATTCCAATCTAACACTTCCATGGAAATTTCTAGGACGAACTGCATCTTCAAATATTTCTAGGAGTATTATTTTCCTTATTTCAATCTAACCCTTCCATGGAAATTGCTAGGGACGAACTGCATCTTCAAATATTTCTAGGAGTATTATTTTCCTTATTCCAATCTAACCCTTCCATGGAAATTATTTTCTAGGACGAACTGCATCTTCAAATATTTCTAGGAGTATTATTTTCCTTATTCCAATCTAACCCTTCCATGGAAATTGCTAGGACGAACTGCATCTTCAAATATTTCTAGGAGTATTATTTTTTCCTTATTCCAATCTAACCCTTCCATGGAAATTGCTAGGACGAACTGCATCTTCAAATATTTCTAGGAGTATTATTTTCCTTATTCCAATCTAACCTACCATGGAAATTGCTAGGACGAACTGCATCTTCAAATATTTCTAGGAGTATTATTTTCCTTATTCCAATCTAACCCTTCCATGGAAATTGCTAGGACGAACTGCATCTTCAAATATTTCTAGGAGTATTATTTTCTTATTCCATCTAACCCTTCCATAATTGCTAGACGAACTGCATCTTCAAATATTTCTAGGAGTATTATTTTCCTTATTCCAATCTATTCCATGGAAATTTCATTCCAATCTAACACTAACGAACTGCTTCTTCAAATATTTCTAGGAGTATTATTTTCCTTATTCCAATCTAACACTACCATGGAAATTGCTAGGACGAACTGCATCTTCAAATATTTCTAGGAGTATTATTTTCCTTATTCCAATCTAACCCTTCCATGGAAATTGCTAGGAAACTGCTTCTTCAAATATTTCTAGGAGTAACTTTCCTTATTCAAATATTTCTAGGACGATTATTTTCAAAATATTCTAGGAATTATTTTCTAACCCTTCCATGGAAATTGCTAGGACGAACTGCTTCTTCAAATATTTCTAGGAGTATTATTTTCCTTATTCAATCCTAACCTTCCATGGAAATTGCTAGGACGAACTGCATCTTCAAATATTTCTAGGAGAGTATTATTTTCCTTATTCCAATCTAACCCTTCCATGGAAATTGCTAGACGAACTGCATCTTCAAATATTTCTAGGAGTATTATTTTCCTTATTCCAATCTAACCCTTCCATGGAAATTGCTACGAACGAAAATATTTCTAGGAGTATTATTTTCCTTATTCCAATCTAACCCTTCCATGGAAATTGCTAGGACGAACTGCATCTTCAAATATTTCTAGGAGTATTATTTTCCTTATTCCAGCCTAAAAACCTCCATGGAAATTGCTAGGACGAACTGCTTCTTCAAATATTTCTAGAAGTATTATTTTCCTCATTCCAATCTAACACTACCATGGAAATTGCTAGGACGAACTGCATCTTCAAATATTTCTAGGAGTATTATTTTCCTTATTCCAATCTAACCCCTTCCATGGAAATTGCTAGGACGAACTGCATCTTCAAATATTTCTAGGAGTATTATTTTCCTTATTCCAATCTAACCCTTCCCTGGAAATTGCTAGGACGAACTGCTTCTTCAAATATTTCTAGGAGTATTATTTTTCCTATTCCAATCTAAACCTACCATGGAAATTGCTAGGACGAACTGCATCTTCAAATATTTCTAGGAGTATTATTTTTTCTCATTCCAATCTAACGAACCTACCATGGAAATTGCTAGACGAACTGCATCTTCAAATATTTCTAGGAGTATTATTTTCCTTATTCCAATCTAACACTCTTCCATGGAAATTGCTAGGACGAACTGCTTCTTCAAATATTTCTAGGAAATTGCTAGTATTATTTTCCTAAACATATTGCTAGGACGAACTTAAAATATTTTTATTCCATGGAAATTGCTAACGAACTGCTTCTTCAAATATTTCTAGGTAAATTGCAAATCTAACCCTTCCATGAAATTGCTAGGACTTGCAAAATATTTCTAGGAGTATTATTTTCCTTATTCCAATCTAACCCTTCCATGGAAATTGCTAGGACGAACTGCATTCTTCAAATATTTCTAGGAGTATTATTTTCCATTCCAATCTAACCCTTCCATGGAAATTGCTAGGACGAACTGCATCTTCAAATATTTCTAGGAGTATTATTTTTCTTATTATTTTTGCTAGGATTCCTTCAAATATTTCTAACCCTTCCATGGAAATTGCTAGGACGAACTGCATCTTCAAATATTTCTAGGAGTATTATTTTCCTTATTCCAATCTAACCTTCCATGGAAATTGCTAGGACGAACTGCATCTTCAAATATTTCTAGGAGTATTATTTTCCTTATTCCAATCTAACCTTCCATGGAAATTGCTAGGACGAACTGCATCTTCAAATATTTCTAGGAGTATTATTTTCCTTATTCCAAAATTGCTAACCCTTCAAATATTTCCATGGAAATTGCTAGGACGAACTGCATCTTCAAATATTTCTAGGAGTATTATTTTCCTTATTCCAATCTAACCCTTCCATGGAAATTGCTAGGACGAACTGCATCTTCAAATATTTCTAGGAGTATTATTTTCCTTTTCCAATCTAAACCTTCCATGGAAATTGCTAGGACGAACTGCATCTTCAAATATTTCTAGGAGTATTATTTTCCTATTCCAATCTAACCTTCCATGGAAATTGCTAGGACGAACTGCATCTTCAAATATTTTCTAGGAAATTGTGCATTAAATTTTCCTTTATTCCAATCTAACCCTTCCATGGAAATTGCTAGGACGAACTGCATCTTCAAATATTTCTAGGACGAACTGCATTATTTTCTAGGAGTATTCCAATCTAACCCTTCCATGGAAATTGCTAGGACGAACTGCATCTTCAAATATTTCTAGGAGTATTATTTTTCCTATTCCAATCTAACCTTCCATGGAAATTGCTAGGACGAACTGCTTCTTCAAATATTTCTAGGAGTATTATTTTCCTTATTCCAATCTAAACCTCCATGGAAATTGCTAGGACGAACTGCACTTCAAATATTTCTAGGAGTATTATTTTTTTATTCCAATCTAACCCTTCCATGGAAATTGCTAGGACGAACTGCATCTTCAAATATTTCTAGGAGTATTATTTTCCTTATTCCAATCTAACCCTTCCATGGAAATTGGTAGGACGAACTGCATCTTCAAATATTTCTAGGAGTATTATTTTCCTCATTCCAATCTAACCCTTCCCTGGAAATTGCTAGGACGAACTGCATCTTCAAATATTTCTAGAATTATTTTCCTATTCCAATCTAACCTTCCAAAAACTGCTAGGACGAACTGCATCTTCAAATATTTCTAGGAGTATTATTTTCCTTATTCCAATCTAACCTTCCATGGAAATTGCTAGGACGAACTGCATCTTCAAATATTTCTAGGAGTATTATTTTCCTTATTCAATCTAACCCTTCCATGGAAATTGCTAGGACGAACTGCTTCTTCAAATATTTCTAGGAGTATTATTTTTATTCATTCCAGCCTAAACCTACCATGGAAATTGCTAGGACGAACTGCTTCTTTTCAAATATTTCTAGGAGTATTATTTTCCTTATTCCAATCTAACACTTCCATGGAAATTGCTAGGACGAACTGCATCTTCAAATATTTCTAGGAGTATTTTTTTTATTCCAATCTAACCTTCCATGGAAATTGCTAACGAACTATTTATTCCGAATCTTCAAATATTTCTAGAGTATTATTTTCCTTATTCCATCTAACCTTCCATGGAAATTGCTAGGACGAACTGCATCTTCAAATATTTTCTAGGGAAATATTATTTTTCAAATATTCCAATATTATTTTCCTAACCCTAAACCTTCCATGAAATTGCTAGGACGAACTGCTTCTTCAAATATTTCTAGGAGTATTTGCTAGGACGAACTTTTTCAAATATTTTCTTATTCCAATCTAAACCTATTCATGGAAATTGCTAGGACGAACTGCATCTTCAAATATTTCTAGGAGTATTATTTTTCCTTATTCCAATCTAACCCTTCCATGGAAATTGCTAGGACGAACTGCTTCTTCAAATATTTCTAGGAGTATTATTTTCCCTATTCCAATCTAACACTTCCATGGAAATTGCTAGGACGAACTGCATCTTCAAATATTTCTAATCTAACCTACCATGGAAATTGTATTAAATTTTCCTTTATTTTCCTTATTCCAATCTAACCCTTCCATGGAAATTGCTAGGACGAACTGCATCTTCAAATATTTCTAGGAGTATTATTTTCCTTATTCCAATCTAACCCTTCCATGGAAATTGCTAGGACGAACTGCATCTTCAAATATTTCTAGAGTATTATTTTCCTGGAAATTATTCCAATCTTCCCTTCCTGGAAATTGCTAGGACGAACTGCTTCTTCAAATATTTCTAGGAGTATTATTTTTCCTATTCCAGCCTAAACCTACCATGGAAATTGCTAGGACGAACTGCTTCTTCAAATATTTCTAGGAGTATTATTTTCCTTATTCCAATCTAACACTACCATGGAAATTGCTAGGACGAACTGCATCTTCAAATATTTCTAGGAGTATTATTTTCCTTATTCCAATCTAACCCTTCCATGGAAATTGTTAGGACGAACTGCATCTTCAAATATTTCTAGGAGTTATTTTTTTTCCAATCTATTCCAAAATCTAACGAACTGCATCCAAATGGAGTATTATTTTCCTTATTCCAATCTAACCTTCCATGGACGAACTGCATCTTCAAATATTTCTAGGAGTATTATTTTCCTTTATTCCAATTCTAACCCTTCCATGGAAATTGCTAGGACGAACTGCATCTTCAAATATTTCTAGAGTATTATTTTCCTATTCCAATCTAAACCTACCATGGAAATTGCTAGGACGAACTGCATCTTCAAATATTTCTACGAGTATTATTTTCCTTATTCCAATCTAACCCTTCCATGGAAATTGCTAGGATGAACTGCATCTTCAAATATTTCTAGGAGTATTATTTTCCTTATTCCAATCTAACCCTTCCATGGAAATTGCTAGGACGAACTGCTTCTTCAAATATTTCTAGAAGTATTATTTTCCTATTCCAATCTAACCCTTCCATGGAAATTGCTAGGACGAACTGCATCTTCAAATATTTCTAGAGTATTATTATTTTCCTTATTCCAATCTAAACCTTCCATGGAAATTGCTAGGACGAACTGCTTCTTCAAATATTTCTAGGAGTAGTATTTTTCCTATTCCAATCTAACCTTCCATGGAAATTGCTAGGACGAACTGCATCTTCAAATATTTCTAGGAGTATTATTTTCCTTATTCCAATCTAAACCCATGGAAATTGCAGGACGAACTGCATCTTCAAATATTTCTAGGAAATTTTCTTATTCCACCCAAACCTTCCATGGAAATTGAACGAACTGCATCTTCAAATATTTCTAGGAGTATTTTTCCTTATTTTCCTTATTCCGAACTGCTTCTTCATCTAACCTATTCCATGGAAATTGCTAGGACGAACTGCATTCTTCAAATATTTCTAGGAGTATTATTTTTCTTATTCCAATCTAACCCTTCCATGGAAATTGCTAGGACGAACTGCATCTTCAAATATTTCTAGGAGTATTATTTTCCTTATTCCAATCTAACCCTTCCATGGAAATTGCTAGGACGAACTGCATCTTCAAATATTTCTAGGAGTATTATTTTCCTTATTCCAATCTAACCCTTCCATGGAAATTGCTAGGACGAACTGCATCTTCAAATATTTCTAGGAGTATTATTTTCCTTATTCCAATCTAACCCTTACATGGAAATTGCTAGGACGAACTGCATCTTCAAATATTTCTAGGAGTATTATTTTCCTCATTCCAATCTAACCCTTCCATGGAAATTGCTAGGACGAACTGCATCTTCAAATATTTCTAGGAGTATTATTTTCCTCATTCCAATCTAACCCTTCCCTGGAAATTGCTAGGACGAACTGCTTCTTCAAATATTTCTAGGAGTATTATTTTTCCTATTCCAGCCTAAACCTACCATGGAAATTGCTAGGACGAACTGCTTCTTCAAATATTTCTAGGAGTATTATTTTCCTTATTCCAATCTAACACTACCATGGAAATTGCTAGGACGAACTGCATCTTCAAATATTTCTAGGAGTATTATTTTCCTTATTCCAATCTAACCCTTCCATGGAAATTGCTAGGACGAACTGCATCTTCAAATATTTCTAGGAGTATTATTTTCCTTATTCCAATCTAACCCTTCCATGGAAATTGCTAGGACGAACTGCATCTTCAAATATTTTTCTATTTCAATCTAACCCTACCATGGAAACTGTATTATTTTTCTAGGATTCCATTCTAATCCCTTCCATGGAAATTGCTAGGACGAACTGCATCTTCAAATATTTCTAGGAGTATTATTTTCCTATTCCAATCTAACCTTCCATGGAAATTGCTAGGACGAACTGCTTCTTCAAATATTTCTAGGAGTATTATTTTCCTTATTCCAATCTAAACCTTCCCATGGAAATTGCTAGGACGAACTGCATCTTCAAATATTTCTAGGAGTATTATTTTCCTTATTCCAATCTATTCCGAACTGCATCTTCAAATATTTCTAGGAGTATTATTTTCCTTATTCCAATGGAAAAATTGCTAGGACGAACTGCATCTTCAAATTATTTTTCTAGGAAATTGAGGACGAACTGCATTATTTTCCTTTATTCCAATCTAACCCTTCCATGGAAATTGCTAGGACGAACTGCATCTTCAAATATTTCTAGGAGTATTATTTTCCTTATTTAACCCTTCCATGGAAATTATTCGAACTGCTTCTTCAAATATTTCTAGGAGTATTATTTTCCATTCCAATCTAACCTACCCATGGAAATTGCTAGGACGAACTGCATCTTCAAATATTTCTAGGAG